GAATTAGAATTAAATTAAAAAAAAATATATTTTTACTTATTAAAAATTATTTAATAATCTAATATTTATTTAAAGATTATATTTTTTTATATTAATTAATTTAAAAATTATACTATCTTTAAAAAGATTTTAATAAATTATTCATAAAAATTAATAAAATCTAGAAATTCTTATATAATTTTTATAAGTATTAAAAATCTTTATTTTTAAATAATTTAAATTATTATTAAATTTATCTGAATTCTTTTTTCTGTTTATATAATAAATTTAAAATATTAAGTTATTTTTTTAAAATTATATTTTTTTATTTTATCTAATTTAATAAATATTTTTATATATATTTTTAATATTTTTTAGAGAGTTCATTAAGTAAATAAATATAATATTTATATAAATTAGATAAAGTTTATCTAGATATTCTCTAAGAATCTAATTAATGAATTTCTAAAAAATACTTAAAATATTAATAAAATTAAAAAGAATTATTAATTATTTATATAATTTATATTTTATATAAAAGATTATTATTTATTCTTAATTCTTAATAGTTTATATATAATAAAAAACAGAGAAAATATTATACTTAGTAAATTATTTAATTTATCTAATCTAATTAAGTATTTTATAAATTAAAGATAAAGAATATTAATTTTTTTTAATAATTATATTTAATATATAATAATTTATATAAAAGCAAAGTTCTTTTTCTAATTTTTATATAAAGAAAATAAATATTATAATAAATAAATAACTATAAATAATAAAGCTTTTATTTAATAATTTTATTGATATTTTTTATAATATTAATAATTTATTATAAGATATATTATATAGAGAATTTTATAATATTTAAAAATCTTATCTATCTATTTATATTAACATAATTTTATAATTTATATTTTTATTATAATAAAATAATAATTTATCTGTAGAGAAAGATTTCAAAAATCAAAAAGAATTATAATAATATTTAAATAATCTTATCTAAGAATTAATAGATAATTTTAAATTAAATATTTTTTAAATATTATTTATTATAATAATAAATATTTTAAGATTCTTAATTTTTATATATTAATATTATTATATATATATACTCATAATAGCAGCAGAAATCTAAATAATTTTTATTTTTAATTTTTTAAAAATTAAATTATATAATTCTAGTTTTTATTATAGAAAAATATAAATATTTTTATTTTAACTCTAATTATATATTAATTTTTTTTATTTAAAATAATTATAAAATAAGATTATACTTAAGATTATTTAATAAAATATAAAAAAAGATTTCTTTTTCTAAGTATATATTTAAGTTTAAATAAATTTATATAATATATATTAAATATTCTATGTGTTTAATAATATTTTTATTATTAATAACTTTTTTTATTATATAAATATTTTACTAATTATTTTATAACTTAGATAGTTATTATTTATTAATATTATAATATTATAGTTTAGTAATATTTATATTATAAAAAAGAATTATTTAAGTATATTTTTTCAAGATATTTTTAATCTAATAAAATTCTTTTATTATTAATATTCTCTAATATATAATTTTATATAAGATTTATTCTTTTTTTAATTTTTTATTATTTAAGATTTTCAATAGAATCTATTATAGCTATTTTATTTAATTTGTTTTTATAATCTTATATAAAATATTTATTATTTTTAAATTTAAAATATAGTTCTTTTTAGTTTCTTTTTAAATTATTTTTTTAAAATTTATTATAGAATAATATTTATTTAAAAGAATTATTTTTTTAAATTCTTTAAATAAAAAGTTATAATTTTAATTAATACAGATTTTTAATTTTTTTTTATCTGAGGTACTCTTTTTAATTATAAATAAAAAATAATTTAAATAATAAGAACTTTATTTTAGAGTATTTATATAATAAATATTATAATTAATTTCTTAAGATTAATTATAATATTTCTTATATAAATCAGCTTTCTTTATTTTAATTATATTCTAAATAATTATTTTATAAATAATAATATTAAATTTAATCTTTATCTGATTATTTAATCAGCTAATATTATTAATAATAAAAAAAGTTTTGTTAAAGTTTTTAAAAATCTTTTCTAGACTTTATTTATTTATTTTATTATTATAATTTATATAAAAATCTTTTTTTATATTCAAGTCTTTAAATAATTAATTTATTAATTATAATAAATTATCTTATTATATAATTTTATTTATTTTTTATTTAAATATAATTTAGAAAAATATATATTATTAAGTTTTTTTATAAAAATAATTATAAATATAATAGACTTTTTTTATTTTATTTATAAAATATTTTTATTCATAAGAAATTATATATAAAACCTTTTATAAAAAAGAAAATATATCTTAAAATTCCTTTTAAAAGAAGTTTAGAAACTAAAAAATAAGTCTAAAATTATAGAATTAATTATTAAATAAAAAATAATATTATTAATATAAATACTAATATAAAATATTATTATAATTTTTTAATTAGATTTTTAGCTAGGCTTTTATTATCTAATATTCTTATTATTATTAATTAAAATATATTTATTAATTACTTAAATCTATTTATAAAGTATATACTGTTTATATAAGTTTTTAAATAATATTTTAATTAGTATAAATTATTAAATTAAAAGAATTTATTATTTTTATATATTAAATAATTCTTAATTCTTAAGAGATTATCTCTTAAGAATAATTAGTTTTTAATATTAGAGAAATAATTAAATTAAGCTAATCTAATAATTAATTATTAATATAAAAAAAGTTAATAAAAAAAATAAAAATATTTAAATTATATTTTTTTATTTCTTCTTATATAGTACTATTTTTTATTTTATTTGATTATTTATTTAATTATAGTATGCCAAACAAAGCATTCGCGCAGGTATTATCAAGCCTTTGGGATTTAAAGGGTTTATACAAGAACCCTATAACAGCCACCTGCTATTCTAAATTGTTAAGTATATCTAATTTAAATAAATAACTAATTTTATTATTCTAATATACTCTTGAATATTTATTTTCTTTATTAAATATAAATTAAAAAATACTTTTCAAAGCTATTAAAGAAAATATATATTTAATGACTAATAGTTAAAATACAGATTAAAAATCAATGTTTTAAAAAATATATTTAGATCTAAATAAATTATAAAATATAAGTTTTAAAATTAAATTTAAAAAAATATTTAATATTTATTTATAAATTATATTTTAAATATTATTGAATATAATTAGATTATATTTTAAATATTATTGAATATAATTAGATTATATTTAATATATAACCAATTATCTCAGAGTCTATTTTATATAGTAATTTTTAATTATTAAATATTTTATAATAATATTTATATATTATATAATTTAAAGATTAATTATATAATTATTTAGTTTAGATTATACTTATTATTTAAATAATAATTATATATTTATTTTAATTTTTATAAAATATTTTAACTATCAGCAAAATTTCTTAACTATTATTATTAATCTATCCTGGCTGTTAGCCACTCTAGTTTTAATATATCAATATATTTAAATTCTTTTAAATATTTAATACAGTTTTAATTTATACTTATTTTGATTATTTTAATTTAAAAGATTAATTATATATTAAAATAAAAAAAATAATATAATATAATCAGATTTATAAATAAAAGATTATTCTATCTTTAGTTTATTAAAAATAAAATAATGATATTTTATTTTTAATTAAATAAATATATATTTCAGTAAACTTTTGAAAAGAAATCTACTAAAAATTATTAAATATTTAAAATATTAATATTATAATTTTAAAAAGTATTTTTTCTATCTTTTTTTAATAATCTATAATTATACCTTAGGCTGTGTATAAGTAAAGTATTCAGAAGCCTCTACACCCCTGACTCTGAGAATCCACTTCAAGGCCTAGTATAGTGATTACTAAATAGTTAGTAATCAGCAGTTATTGAGAATTATTATTTTAAGAAGAATTAAAGCTATTCAGACTATTTATATATACTTAACAGTCTAAATAAGTATAATAGATAAGTATAATAGATAAGTATAATAAATAAGTATAATTATTAATAAATATATAAAGATTAGACAGAGAGTTTAATAAAATAATATAAAATAATTAAATAATTAAAACAGACTATTTTAAAAATTTTAAAAGAGCTTATATATATATATAAATTTATATATAAATTAATATTAATTTTAAATAGAATATTTTCTATCTGCTGAGATAGTAAAATAAATATTTTTTAAATAATTCTATAGCTGATTACTAGAGGCGGGCTGCTATATCTAATTTTGAATTAAAATATTAATAATAAATGACTGTTGCAAAAGGTCTTTACTGAGTACATGCGCACCAAATCGCGGGTGTAGGAATAGGTCGCATAAATGATACTTTATACAAGTGGCGTAAACACATAGCCTATGCTCCGTATTTCTATCGCTCGCTGTACCCTTTAATGTCACTGACTGCTTAAAAGACAGTGTCAAACCTAGTATCATTCAGTATCACACCTACTTAGGTGTCTGGACATCTTTTTAGTTGAGTGATCTGTTTAATCTGTTAATTATAAGTCTAGCCTGCCTATCTCTGAGTATAGAAGATATATAATATAATTAAATATCTTAATATATTTAAAGACTGCAGATTTAAATTATAAATATATTAAAAAAAAGATCAAGCTAAAATTATATATATAAAAAATTCTTAATAATTAGAATATATATTGCTGAGATTAAGCTATAAATAAATTATTAAAAAACTGTTGTTATCTGCTAGTCTAGAAAAATATATTAAATCTAGTATTATTCAGTATCACACCTACTTAGGTGTCTGGACACCTTTTTAGTCAAGTGGTCTGTTTGGTCTGTTAGACAGACAGGCCCGCCTACGTTGGGCAAGTAAAAGGAGAACGAAGGGGAGGAAATACCAAAATAAAAAAAGCTGTCCTAGCTGTGGCAATACTTTCTGTCTCAATTTTCAACTCTTGTAATTGTCATGATATCTTACATTGTGGGTTGTAAAAGCACGAGGGGAAGGGTACCAAATCTCACAGAGAAAGGCTTCCAACATCTGGACTCGATTCGAAACATCACGCCAAGCCGACCTGGGCCAGAACAACTCTCCCATGGGTTAGATGTTGGCTGTCTCTCCAACCATCACACTGGTACTCAGTACAAGAAGCACAAAGGGCGAGCGAAGGGCTTTAACTCTGGGAACAACAGACAGGAGCAGAGTTATTCACCACCCTCAATACTTGAATCACAAGCGAGTAGGCTTTTGTCCGCGGCTCTCCTTACTATGATGAAGTATGGCAGGCATCACTTGAGATATCTGCGGGATCAAGAAGTTCGTGGACCGTTTTCAGCCACCGAGTCGTACCACACTTTCACGCCAGGATAGGTACAAGGAGCGCTTCTGAGACCGTTACCATGGCCATAGGGCCGCCTGGGTGCAAATGTACGGACATAGACTATTTCACGTTCAGCGGCAGTAGTACCACGGTCAAATTGTGAGCGACGTCGACGCTGCTCGTCGCGGTATTGCTGGCCGACGCGCGGGGCAAAGAGTCCTAATAGGCTTGTTTAATCACGGGTTCAACACTTGAGCACATCCGTACATTGTACTCACCAACATGCTCCGCATTTTCAATGCTCCGACGCATCTTCGAAGGGTTATCTGGCCCGGGAAATCGATCCTCAGTCCCTCCGAGAGGAGTGGTGCCGGTGTGAAAAATCTGTGCATAGAAATCAGACCTTTCTTCCTTTGGATAGTGTATTCGAGGACAGATATTGTACCAACCTTTGGTCGGAAGGATGGATGCTCCAGCATGACAGAACTGTTTCGAAATTTCTGCACCAAACAGTCCTTTCCCTGAATAGCTGTCCCTCAATTTTAGTCATGCGATGCAGTAGTTGTAGAAGAATTAAGACGAACTAGCATATGACACTTCAGCCACCTTGTCGCTGTTGAAACAATTCCTGAAAGTAAGTCAGCACAAAAGATCACACTCCCTTGACCTCGTCGAATCATACCAGGTTCGTCCCGCTCTTGCATTGACAAACTATAGTTGCTTAGATCCATAAAGGTTGAGGGCATTAGGAGGGCACTGACATCAATAATATCAATTGGCTAAATTTCCATTAGTGACTGTTATGTTCCACAAGGATATCATGCCATCCCACTCACATCTTCGAAGTTTATAAAGGCATATCCGACACTGTGATCAAATCCCAGTCAATAAGAACCAGTGAATGTAGACATGAATCTCATACTTGCAATTGTTTGCAAAATCTGTGGGTAGGGTGCCGCAATCAGTAAACTTTCTTACAAGTGTAGAATAGATAAGGTCCGCTAACCAATGCGCAGGTACATAAAGTCATATTTACCATGACTTGTCTCATCCACAATGGCTTTGAGCATAGTCTTATCCCATTAATCGTAAATATCTCCATATTATGCCATAGTATCTCTGGGTAGAGTAGCTTACTTGGTCAATTTTGTTGGGAATATTACGGAGCATAATCTAAGATGGAGAGGGTCTGTCAACATATAACTCATGAATAAAGATGGGAATATTGACCGTGGTGCGGACATCTAAGCCAAGACGAATGCGTTCGATGTCAACTGCGTTCTGACTACCCAGACGTAAATCATGATAACGACTGAGTTCGCGGCGAGGGGAGGGCAAAATCCTTTCTCCAGCCGTGGACATCCAATCCATGAGACTAGCATGTTCACCGGAGGGAACTGTAGAACGGCCAGTAGGGCTTAGCTCCATGTAAGAAGCGCGGCCTGATCTTATGGATGACCAGGAAGAATTCTTGGCTAACGAACTCTCGCGTGGTGAGAACTCTTCCCTTGTGGGTGTTGAACTTGCGATTGGCTGTCTGCATCTTCTCTCTTCCATATCCGGCCTAAATATCGAAATCTCTAAAATGCAATCCTGTTATAATATACGTTAGCAATCCAACAGAGTAAGAGAGGGATATGCCAGCCTACATCAACAGATGTTCCGTTGAGAGTAGTCATGACATTTTCTGCATCACGGGTGTTGAAGAACTCGATATGAAACTCGCCAATATTCTCCTGGCCGGTTGGTAGCGAGGTGAATGTCTTGATATCACCAAACGTCATGGTAAGTGTTTCAAGCGATCGGGCAACGGTACGCTGATTAAGATTGGGGTTTCTCCCATCATAGTAGACCGTGACCAATAATTGGCCCTCGTAATCAGATGTTTGCGGTAGAAGAGAAGGCTCGACATGTTGTACATATTCTTTAGGGGCAATTGGAGAGACATTCCACTCAGGCCTGAGAATTTTGATCTTTTCGATTGCTTTCGTTGCCTCGCGACTATCAGTGAACGCGACATATACCTTCCCCATGGAGCTAAGCTCTGAAAGTACAGGGCCTTTGAGAGAGCCAAATTCACGACGCTATTTATTTATGTCAACCGGTCCATTCTATCCTTTCAGTTCCTGGACAAGGCACTTACGTTAAAAAACCCAGCTAGGGACATGTATGTGAGGTTCTTCGGCACATTCTCAATAACGAGCGCGCGACTACGTCTCTCGGTGTCAAAATCTCCGTGAGCTGTACCAAATGGTCGATTGTTTCTATTGACTTGGGTGTTGCCTATAATCCCATAAGCTGGCGGACCTCTCTTTTGAATCTCTAGAGACACGGGTCTTGTTTCGCTTTGTTCAAAGTCCGTGTTTGTAGCTAGGTAGTTACCACCTACAAGTCCTCGAGACAGAGACAATGATTTGTTTCCAATGGGTGTGAAAGCTGCAGCTGTTGGTGAGAGTTGAACACGACTAGACGTGCTCGCTGACACCAGAAATGGATCGGATGATGACCTATACATGTTATCAAAAGGTCTGGTTTGCTTCCACACGGCAAACCTACGTCGAATAAAGTTTTTGGATACCAGTGTTAATTAGTTGGTCGCCGACATGGGATTCCGGACGGCCCTTGGATCGTAGGACTTCAGGGGAATATGCTGTGAGCTTAGTGTCTGGAGACCCATTGGCAGATCCTATCTCATTTGTTGAGCAGGGGCTGCTCAAGCCGTGGGAGGAGTCGTTTGCCCTCATCTCGAGAGGCTATTGTTAAGTTCAAAAGGTTTTAGCGAATATTGTCCCTTTTTCAGAGGCATGCCTTATGTCAAGAAGTAGAAAGGGGACAGAGCAAGGAAGTGTATAACTTACAAGACAAAGCTGTTCCAGGAAGCTTACAATGCTGGGACAAGAATTTTTGCACGGAGCAAGACTGTCAGATTTCACCTGATCTCTTGCTTGAGAGCCAATATTAAGAGGAAACAGAAATGGGAAACACGGTAAACATGTTTCCAAGAGAAATAGATGAGAGAGAGAAGCAGACAAGATTTGGAGACGGACTCGGGCATGCTGCATATAGAACCTGTTAATACGCATACTGCGACAAAACAACAACAACCATCCCAGGTTATAGGCGCCAAGGATGGAGAATGAGTAGAGAACTCGTATCTGGAAAACCTTAACAAGATGATACTGAGCTGTGCTTATCCACATGATGAGGTTATAGATTAACGTTAATTTTGGATATGGAATGTGCATACCACATATGTCTGGGGGTTCAGACAGTCTTGTTTTCTTTCAAACTAACAGCACTAATAAAATCAATCAGTTTCTGGCTCAGCATTCTGGCCAGATTTATGCTCTAGATTTGCATGAAATATAGGAACTTCTGTGTACATGTTTGAACCCCAGATAATAGTGGCCACTCCCCAATACATTGCCACGAGGCAGGGCTAGGGTTGTGTTGAACCTAGTGCACCTTTATGACTAGAAAGGATGTCGAGGCACCTTTTTAGTCTAGGGGGGGTACCGGGCGACTTCCAACAGGTTGGCATATCAACAAATTGCTATTACTCGAAGTGTCAGTCCCCTGTATAGTATTGCTTTTGGTCTTCGGAATCCATTTAGAAAATCCAAAGTTAAATATATCAGATGGGGGAGGCTCATTAAAAGGTTGTTCATTCGGACGTTCAGCTGTGATGGCATCCATAGATATTGCCAACTCTTGCCACTATATCACAACCGACTAGACGCCCCATACTACTATTAATGACGGTCTGTATATATATTGACTGACCAATATTGCAGGTAAGAATGTTATCCAAGAAGCATCTACGGAGTATTGTAGCAGCTCCTTGATACCATGGCATAAGATGCACTAACCCGCTTAAGTATTATTCTGGAACAGCATTTGGATACATTGCCTTAGGGACCATGGCATATATGTCAAACCCAGTATCATTCAGTATCACGCCTACTTAGGTGTCTGGACACCTTTTTAGCCGAGTGGTCTTTTTGGTCTGTCAATATACTTCACTACTTAGTCAGTCTACCTAGTTACACAGTGCAGTGCATTACTAGTGGGGAGATTCTGCGCCTGATCATAGTTGAGAGATGTTACTATTTCAATATTTGTCCATTCATCTGCTTTGTGAAGCAGGCACAGGTGTAGACGGAGCGATACAACTGTACTAGTAGAAGTACTCCGCTAATTAGACTATTTGGGCTTAGCGTCTACTAAATGCCTCCGCATACAAGCATGTTCGTCAATCGCCTAATTGCGGGGGTCCCAGTTGCAGTGGGTTCAGAAAAAGTTGCGGAAGGGTCAGAAAGTTGGATGCCTTACAGGTAAGATTTCTGATTCTTGATCAGATCTTTATATAATATAGCTAATTAAAAATTAGAATATATAATTTTAATGTCTGTGTAGTTATATTATATATTTAAATCTAATTTTCTGACTTTTATATAATTATACTGGTTTTTTTTATTATTCTTAAAAATTTTTATTTATAAGATTCTTCTTAGACCTGTATATATAATTATATATAGATATAATTTTATATAGCTTTTTATATAAAAATTTTTTAAATTTTAAGTAAAATCTTAGATAAAGATTATAGGGTTTTAAGTAGAGTTTCAAATATAAACTTTTTTTAATAATAAATCTTTAAATAAAACTTAAACTAGTAATAATAATACTTTATATATAGAGTATATATATAGATATATATATCTTATTAGTTATTACTAATATTATAAATTGAAGTCTAATTTTAAGTTTTATTTATAAAAAAGATCATATTTAAAATTCTGTTTAAATTTTACTTTAGTTTTTATCTAAAATTTTATTTAAGACTTTATTTAAAAATCTAGATAATTTTATAAAAAGAATTATATAAAATTATAATTATATATAATTATATATACAGATCTAAAAAAAATCTTATAAATAAGAATTTTTATTATACTTTAAAAAGAACTTACTAAATTATTAGATAAGAAATTTATCTGTGTTAGCAGCTCCGCAGTCACGGCGCCTGTTTTTTTTGTCCGGAAACCAGGCGGCGAGCTCTGATACTTCATCAACTATTGAGGCTTGAATACAATTATCAAAAAGGACTGTTATCCTCTCCCCCTGATCCAGCTTAGTAAACCACTTGGCCTTCCCAATCTGGTTTAGCGTCTCGTGGATCAGTGGAAGGAAGCCGAAGACAAGGACCAGATATATCAACTATCAAGAAATCAGGACAGCCGTCAGCCAGGGGCCCAGGGCGCACGGAAGTTCCCCCCTGGCTTGAAGTTAAAGATCTTTATTACTAAATATATTATCAATAGCTAGAAGATTCTGATTTTTAAAAAATAAAAATAAATATTAGAGTTTAAATTATTATAAATTAGATTAATATAAAAAATATATAACTTTCTTCTAATAAAATATCTAGAATAAAAATAGATTTATAAAATTATTAGCTATAAGTAGAGTGGCTATATCTAATTATTATATCTTAACCTAATTTTAACTATAATCTAATAATTAGATTAAGATATAAGAATTCTCTTAATTATATAATTAAGAATACATTAAGATTAAGAGATTATTTTAATTAATCTTAATTATAGATTAGAAAGATCAGATATAATTAAAAGATTAATAATCATTAATTAATTAATAATTTATATAGATTTTTTATAAATATAACATATTAGAAATAATATATTTTTAATTGTTATATTATTAAAATAAAATACTAATTAGATTAATTAAGAATTATTAATTTTTTTTATTTTTTAATTAATAATTAGTAGTCTAGTAGACTCTATATTAGAGTTTTATAAATAATATTAAAAATTTAAATATAATAAGATTAAACTACTAGAAAAAAATATATAAATTATTATTTAAGTTATTTTTTATATTATTCTAATTAATAATTATAATAATAAAAAGATTATATAACTTAAATATCTATTTATATCTAAATATATATAATATTACTAAACTAAAAAAAAGCTTAATTTTTTTCTAATAATATTTTATTTTTAAAATTATTAGTAAGATTATCTATATTTTTATTTTTATTAATATAGAAAATTATTATTAATTTATTATTTTCTTAATTCTTAGCTATAAATATAATAAAATCTAAAATAAAATTATTAAGAATGTTATAATATTTTTTAATAATAATAAAATAATTAGTATATAATATATATCTAAAATATAAATACTTTAATAATCTTAGAATATAGACAGTTATAATAATAATAATAAATATTTTAAAAATTATTAAAAAGCTATTTAATATTAATATTATTAATTATAATAATTAGAAAGTTTCTAACTATATAGTAGAAAATAGAAAACTAATTATAATAAAACTTTTAATAAATAAGAATATTAGAGTAGTCAGTAATTTCTAAATAATTATTAATATAAAAATAATTAGAAAAGTTATTAATTTAATATTCTAGTCTTTAATAATCTATATATTTTTAATATTAAAATAAATCTTAAGCTTTTTAAATATTATTATAAAAAATAAGAGCTTCTAATATTTAAAATATTATAAAAATTCTTATCTAAATCTAAGAATATACTAGAGACTATAAATAATATATTAATAATAGAATTTTATTAATAATAAAAATAAAAAATCTTTTTAAAAATAATTTAATATTTAAAATATTAATTAATATTATTATCTAGTCAGATACTTTTTTTAAATTTTTTTTAGTTTTAATATAAAATCTAGAATAATTATAATTATATAAATATAATCTTTAATTTAATAAATTTAATAATAATATTTATAAAAGTTCTAATATATATTTTTTAGATTTTAAAAAATCTTTTTTATAGAGTATTTATTTTTATATCAGCTAATTAATAGACTAATTAAAATAATTAAAAAAACTATTATAAATATTATAGATTTTATAAATTATAGATTTATTATTCTCTAACAGAAAAAAAATTAAAAAAATATATAAATTTAAATAGATATTCTAACTACTTCTATTTTATTAAAAAAAAATAAAAATAATTAATATTATTATAATTCTAATATTATATAAAACTCTTAACAGCTAATTATAATTTAATTTTATATTAGATTATAAAATATATTACGTTTTATTAAATTTTATAATTAAAAAAAAATAATATACTAAGATAGATTTTAGTTATTAAATAAATTAAAATTTTTTTAAATATAATAGATTTATATCTATAAATTATATAATCTTCTGCATTTATTATTAAACATTAGAATAATAAATAATAAATATTAAATAAATATATAAAAATAATTTATAAAAGTGTTTTATGAATTATTTTTAAAGAATTCTATAAAATATTTTTATAAATAATTTTTAGAGAAGTCTATAAAAATCTTTTATAAATAATTTTTAATATATATTTCTTTAATTATTCAGAAATTATTAGCAGAGATCTTAAGTCTTTTAATATTATTTTTTATATATATTTAATAATTTTATTAGCAGTCTTAATTCAAAATTACTAAAAAAAGATATTAATAAAATATTTAATAATATAAATAAGATAAAAAATGAAATATTAGCTTTAAATAATTTTTATAAAATCAGAGTTTACTAAAATATTATAAAAATAAATATTTTAATTCAATAAAATCTAGAGATCTGCTATAATAACATTAAATATAATAATATTATTATTAATATTATTAATAATTATATTTAAGAATTAATAAGTAAATTTATATTTTTACAGAATCTTAAAGATAATCTTAATTGGATTTTTATTAATATAAACTCTAGATATTAATTAAAAATTTAATAAAACCTTATAATAATTTATATTTTCTATTAGAAAATATTTAATTAAAACTAGAAATATTTTCTAATTTAAATTAATCTAGTAATTGATTATAATTAATATATATTTATTATCTAGAAATTTTAATAATAATTAGATATATATTTCTTTTAATAACTTAAAAAAATATTCTTTAACTTATATTTAATAAAAAAATAAATATTTAAAAGAGTACTAGAATAGCCAGATTAATCTTTTTTTTTAAATTAAATATATTTAATAGTTTA